TTAGTTGTTATTGTTAATGAAAAATCACTTCAAAATCAACTAATATTGTATAATTGACTCAATTTTTATTGTATGTGATTTAATGCTACTAATAGTTTTGAGTGACTAAAATAAGTTATTTTTTTGAAATTACAAAAATTAAAAAGACCAATTTTAAATTTGAGAGACTAAAAGTGTAACGATATGACATATCACTATATTTAATACAATACAACTAAAGTGCAATGAAGAGATTTAAACAACATACAACTAACCTAGGATTACCATGTAATTGAATATTTATGCATCATATATTAGTAAAGGTACAAAGTTTAAAACCAAAAATAGTCTCTTAAGGGATTACATACATATCTTGTACATATAAACCATATACATAAACTACATCTCTATACATAAAATAACCCTAATCGTCAGTCAAACGTGTATACATTAAGTCATCAACCATGCTACATTAGAGTAGCATTGACAAAAAAGTCATCACTAACATGACTCACCTCCCACCATCCAAGCAAATATGTTAATATTATCCTGCTCCCATATTAAGTATGACCATTGTAGTTTCAATTACAAGGAAAAGAAAAGGTAAGCTTGTGAAGCAAAAACAACACACATATACAACATCAGAACCTACTCAACATCTTATGCAACTCTACTTTTCAACTTTCAACTTATAAAAAACATCTCAACAACTTACAACACCACAACACATCTTAACAACTTTAGCATAACAACATAATCAACATAGACAACAATAAGCAACTAATGCGTTATCACGCATATCAACTACAAAAATCTCCTACAAAAAAACTGAGTCGTTTAAGTGGCTAAACTTTACTAAATCATAACATATGACTTATCACGATTAAGTCAAGTATAAATAGTATTAAGCCTTAAAGAGTGCTAAATATAGAGTTACAATTTTGATTTCTTAGATTTTGTTACTTAAACTAGGAAGTCTAGTATTCTTGTAAGGGTAGAATAGTTTGGATATAAGTCTACCACGACATTAGTTTGTAACACTAAGTTTCCTATAAAATTAACCCACCAACTACCCTCCAAATACTACGTCTTTCTAGTACTCAGATAGGGGCTAAGTCTTCGACCTTGTACCTTACTTAGTTGGTCACTTTATATACATATACCTTAACCTTGCCCATATACGGGTCCACATAAAACCAAAAGGAGAAGACTTAAAAATAACCACCCATTCAGAAGTCAACTTACTTATTAAAGGATCCTCAACTAGGCTCGTAGAGCACCACTACTTATATCCACACAATGAGATATTTTAATTTCTAAATATCATTTAGTCTCTTCTAGTTTTTATGTATCTTATCTAACACATGTATCTATACCACATGCCTAACAATTTAAAAACTCAATCAACTATAGTATCATACCACTTTACAACTTTATCATCTATCAACATTTAACTTAAAACACCATATATCGTACAATTTCATCGATTCTCATCGTAGACAACTTTAAGCATCATCATTCATATCAACAATTCATCATACTTCAACATTAAACAACTTAAAACATCATACTTCATTAAACAACCCACATTTGTCGTCATTCTAAGCGTGCCTGGCGCTATTGAGATAGAAAGGCTTTTGTCCTACCTACACCCAATGTCAATCTTCCTACACCTGACGTAGGTGAGGTAGAGAACCTCTAAGTCTCCCACACTTAGCATGAAAAAACCCACGTCCAACCTCAATTGGGTATGGAGTTTCTACCTACACACGTTCAACACTACTTAACCTATGTGTGATGTCATTTAGGCAGAGATTCATTGACTTGATCATGTTTGGCACCATACCTCTAGGGCTTAGCATCACCAAGTCAAAGAATTCGTAAGTTCTCATGTCCGATGCCACTCATTCCACCCCCGACATCACACATTCCACGTTCGACATGACTAAATTAAAGAACTCCTCACTAATTCACGCTCAACGCTACCAATCCCATGTCTAGAGTAATTAGGTAGAGAGCCCCTAACCTAAGTCATGCTTAACACAATGAAGGCATGATACTCATTTTGAAAATAGAAAAATCACCAAATGGCTCAAAACTTGCAATCCAACCAACCAAAATAACATGCAATACAACATATATACATGCTAAATGACACATCCAAGCATAAAATATCATAATCACTCAAGTTACTCAAGAACACCATTTCAAGAGTACTTCTAACAACACCTCTAAATTGCAACCTACACTAATTCAATCACAAGTGACAAATTTAGACAACAATAGTAAACATTCGACATAGCAAATCAAATTACAAAGCTTTTACTACCTCTAATCGATCAACTGAGAAGAGGAGGAAAAAAAATTTCACACGACTTCAACTTGAAATTTCCAACTTTGGGAACTCAAATCCCCAAAAAGGCAAGTGGATCAACTATAGGAAGGAAGAAGGAAAGGTTTTAGTTAAAGAATCTTATTTATGACATTCTTATTTTAAAAAATTCTCTTTAATTTTTCTTAAAATTTTATGACATTCTTATTTTAAAAAAAATCTTATTTATCATTCTTATAATTAAATCAACTCTCTTTAAAATAATTTAGTTCTTTAGGATCTTCAATTCCTAAAATTCTAAAACAACCAAATAACATTTAATCATACATCATATATAATTAAATTACAATATATAGGATTACAAAAATCTTATTTAACCTTTAGAATAAAATAACCACACACTAGTATTTTATTTTATTTTATTTTTTATATATAAACCGCACACCGGTTGATCAACACATCAGATTATATTGTTGATATTATTTTTATACTACTATTATTTTTAGGTAACAACTAACAATTATAAGTAATTAATAATGTTTTTGAATGTTATTTCTATCCATTATTTATCATAAAATGTTCATAAATATAAATATTTTAAAAAATATCATATATAAATGGGGTCTGATGATGGTGATGACGCGGATTTGGGTCTAGCATCCAATTATGGATAAGAGTGGGGACATTCTTCTCCCTTGTAACCTGCTATATATCCTTTTCTTAATTTATTCGATATATACTAAATTCAAATTGTATCCTTATTCCATCATAGTTCTGCTCCATACATTATGTATTTTTTTTGCAACTTTTTGCCACGGGCAACCAATTATCAATTTAAAAAAAAAATTCGCTTAATAACTTTTTTAATGGGCATTAAATTTCATGAACTCAAATATATATTACTTAAGTTTCATTTATAGATAAGTTAGTGAAATTTCATTTAATTTATAAATTTTCTTTTGGTTCTACAGTAAATATCCTTCAATCCAATGGGTTAGAAACTAATTATGCTTATTGTTTTTATATATCCAAAGGATTTTCATTCACAGCGGAAATCCACCATGAAATTACTTACTAAATATATTATTTTTACAACATGTTGATACATTAAACAAATAACATATATTTTTAAATGTTAGTAAAAAAATAATAACATTAAATTTGATATGCATAATTATTCAAAAGAAAAATAATATAATGATTAAATTTATTTAGAA